TAATGGCTTCCTGGCAGCTTCATGCTTGATCCTTCTCAATTCATAGGGAGTTATTTTGCGTCTTATTTTTTCACCACGCCTCTTGTGCCCCTGCTGGCTATTTGCCATGAACCGCTTGATTGTCATGTTGGACATGGTGAAGAAAAGTGGCTATATTGGTCACTGATTTGTTTTTTGTTTGTTTTTGAATGTCGCAAATGTTTATTTCTGAATTTTGAGTTGTTATATTGGTTTACCTCGTGAAAATAAGTGAAGATGGGTATATATTTGTTTTTTTATTACGTTGCCTAATAATTCTGCACAGTAATATTTACCTGCGAACACAGACATCCTCATAAAATGGCCGAATCAAAAAACGAAACAAATCAACTACACAAAATATGAAACTTTGATATTACGGAGTCTTTTGGGTTGACTGAGAACACAATTGTGGCGCAATAATAAAAAATAATCCTCAAAAATACAACTTGCCTAATAATTTTGCACACTGTCTATTCTCATGGCTTCAGATAATGGACGTGTATCTGTACTTGTCCTCATAGATCTCAGTGCTGCTCGATACAGCTGATCATAATATTCTTTAAGGAAGACTAATATTTTGTTAAAACAGGGAACAGCACTAGGCTGGATTCAATCTTATCTGACAGATTTCAGTTTGTTCCCGTTAATGATAAATCTTCCTCATGCTCGAGAGTTACCTGTGGAGTACCACAGGGATCAGTGCTAGGACCAATTCTCTTTAGTATATATATTTTTCCAATCAGTGGAATTATTAGACAGCATGGGATTAATTTCCACTGTTATGCTGATGATACCCAGCTATATCTGTCTATAATCCAGATGAAGCTAACCCATTACATAGATTACAGGCTGTAAATGTTTAGCTTCTAAAAGCAAATAAAACAGAAGTTATAGTCTTTGAAAAAGAAGCTGATTAGCCAGTCACTTCATTTGGATGGGATTAAACTGATCTCAGATAATAAAGTAAAACATATTCGTGATATTTTTGATCAGGACCTGTCATTTTGATCCCATATCAGAGGTTTCTAGAAGAGTTTCCTTCTCTTATCAGAGGAATATTGCAAAAATGAGAAATCTCCTGTTCAGGGGTGATGCTGAGAAACTAGTCCATGCATTTGTTACCTCAAGGCTGGACTATTGTAATTCTTTACTATCAGGAAGTCCACAAAATGTAGTTAAAAACCTTCAGCTGATCCAAAATGGTGCAGCCAGAGTTCTGATGAAAATTAAAGAGAGATCATATCTCTCCTATCCAAGCTTCTCCTTATTGCCTTCCTGTTAAACCCATTTTATATCAGAGATATAGATGAGATACAGAGATGTATTCTTCCTTATGTCCCTAGCAGATCACTTCCCTCTCAATCTGCAGGTTTACTAGTGGTTCCTAGAAATTCTAAAAGTAGAATGGGAGGGAGATATTTTAGTTTTCAGGCTCCTCTCCTGTGGAAGGCTTAAAAACTTTCCTTTTTGATAAAACTTATAGAGTGGCTCAGCTTATCATGAGCTATCTCTATAGTGATGCTGCTATAGGCTTAGTCTGCTGGAAGAAATAGGGACCCCTTTACATCACTCTGCTTCATTTTATTTATGTTATCCCATTGTGCAATATTTGTTATATATATATACACTCACCGGCCACTTTATTAGGTACCCCATGCTAGTAACGGGTTGGACCCCCTTTTGCTTTCAGAACTGCCTCAATTCTTGGTGGCATAGATTCAACAAGGTGCTGGAAGCATTCCTCAGGGAGTTTGGTCCATATTGACATGATGGCATCACACAGTTGCCGCAGATTTGTGGGCTGCACATCCATGATGCGAATCTCCCGTTCCACCACATCCCAAAGATGCTCTATTGGATTGAGATCTGGTGACTGTGGAGGCCATTTGAGTACAGTGAACTCATTGTCATGTTCAAGAAACCAGTCTGAGATGATTCCAGCTTTATGACATGGCGCATTATCCTGCTGAAAGTAGCCATCAGAAGTTGGGTACATTGTGGTCATAAAGGGATGGACATGGTCAGCAACAATACTCAGGTAGGCTGTGGCGTTGCAACGATGCTCAATTGGTACCAAGGGGCCCAAAGAGTGCCAAGAAAATATTCCCCACACCATGACACCACCACCACCAGCCTGAACCGTTGATACAAGGCAGGATGGATCCATGCTTTCATGTTGTAGACGCCAAGTTCTGACCCTACCATCCGAATGTCGCAGCAGACATCGAGACTCATCAGACCAGGCAACGTTTTTCCAATCTTCTTTTGTCCAATTTTGATGAGCTTGTGCAAATTGTAGCCTCAGTTTCCTGTTCTTAGCTGAAAGGAGTGGCACCCGGTGTGGTCTTCTGCTGCTGTAACCATCTGCCTCAAAGTTTGACGTACTGTGCGTTCAGAGATGCTCTTCTGCCCACCTTGGTTGTAACGGGTGGTTATTTGAGTCACTGTTGCCCTTCTATCAGCTCCAACCAGTCTGGCCATTCTCCTCTGACCTCTGGCATCAACAAGGCATTTCCGCCCACAGAACTGCCGCTCACTGGATGTTTTTTCTTTTTCGGACCATTCTCTGTAAACCCTAGAGATGGTTGTGCGTGAAAATCCCAGTAGATCAGCAGTTTCTGAAATACTCAGACCAGCCCTTCTGGCACCAACAATCATGCCACGTTCAAAGTCACTCAAATCCCCTTTCTTCCCCATACTGATGCTCGGTTTGAACTGCAGGAGATTGTCTTGACCATGTCTACATGCCTAAATGCACTGAGTTGCTGCCATGTGATTGGCTGCTTAGAAATTAAGTGTTAACGAGCAGTTGGAAAGGTGTACCTAATAAAGTGGCCGGTGAGTGTATATAATATTTATATAATATTTGTTCAATCTCTGTTATTCTCTGCTTTTTCCTCATCACAGTATCTCCACATGGTGTGATTTTTTTTGGCTGTGACTCCATCCTGGAGAGAAATATCAGCTGTGCTGCTGCTATCAACACCTTTGTTTACAGATGTTGGAGAATGGCCTGTTTTTCAGTGTAGTCCTGTTTCTCTGACTGTGACTAATCGTATATGCTCTCCTGACGTGGGGGCTAGTTCTGAGCTCGTCTGCCTGGCTGTTTGTTTCCTGCCTTTTATCGCTGATTTTTCTATATTTGCTTCTGTCTCGTTGAACCCCAGTGGGCCTCAGCAGATGGCCGCTCACACTGAGCCTGGTCCTTCTGGAGGTTTCTTCCTGTTCAAAGGGAGTTTTTCCTCTCCACTGTCACTACAAGCATGCTTAGTGTGAGGGATTGCCTTTGAGTCAATGAGTCGATGCAAACAGCTGGTTTTCCTTAGATAGAAAACTTTGAACCAATCTGACTGGATGATCTGGTCACATTGTCTCTGTAAAGTGCCTTGAGATCACGTTTTGTGAACTGGCGCTATATTAGAAAATGAACTTAATTGAACTGAAGGATTCTCCAGTCTGTTGCAGGTTGAAATGTTTGTCCAGATTTTCATCCTATTAAGATGTTGTACATGAAGGAAAACCCTCAAACATCCACTGCTGAAAGAGACAAGCGGGTCTAACTTTATTTAGACCGATATCTCAGACAGGTTGGAGACCAAGACGCTCGGTGTCACATCTTTGCGTGTTGAGGAAAAATACATTTATTTTGAGACGGTTACAAGAAGTATCACGCAGACATTTTTAATATTGGTTTATTCTGCTCATATTTACATTACACAAACCTTTTTTTCTCAGGACAAAGACTTAATGTCTGTAACACAGCAGTGCTTAAGCTACACAAAAGACACTTCAGCGCTGGCTCTCAAAACTCTTGAGTTGAAAATTAAATTAGAACCGGACAATGGATTCGCTCCCAAATACATCACAGTCCAAAGGCATTTTAGTTTATTTTTTTTAAGGCCATACACAGAGGACACACAATGGACACGGAAATTAATTGAAAAGCAACACAGAATCCCAAACATCTCAATCCGAATGCCTGTGTAGCGTGCGTGGGCCCGAGCAATGCCACAGCGTCATCAATAATACATCAACACAGGCGCGTACACACCCAATCCCCCCTACCTTTTCAAAGGCTATTGTGGAATGTGTGAGGAGAAATGAACCTTTTCATCCTTTCAGTAAGTCCTCTGTCTATTTCGGTCTGCATTGGGGTCAGCTCCAATTCAGAAAGCTTTTACTCTGCTTTTCTAACAGTCCGTGTCAATTTAGTGAAAAGAAAATTGTTCTGGAGGTTCACTTGTCATTCTGCACTCAGAAAATTGCAAGCATTTTGACCCCAATTTTTTATTTTTTATTTTTTTTTGGCTCAAAACACATTCCTCTTTACTTCTATTGAGGGGCAGAAAAATGTAACCGCATTCAAACGCTGCGATATTTATTAAATGTAATGCATTAGAACAAACAGATATTACAGGGATTGTTTTCAAACCATGACAGGATTATTTACTGAAGAAAGCTTTTTCTTTATCATTCCATGCACATATGGTTATATATACTGTATATATGGCTCATAAAAATCCAATACATTTTATTCATAAAATACAAAAAAAAGGCAGGAATTTGCTTAGCAAATGTTTTATGTTAGATTATGGGAAAACAGCGAAGCTTTGGTCAAATATTTTAAAGGTTTCACTTTGCAAAGGAAACCTGGAGAATTAAGACATTTGGGGACTAATTTGTCACAATCAGGGACTTTAAGGGTTCACATGTTTAAATAAAATACATTTATGAGGACTGAAAGATCAAGCATGGTATCAACATGGAAATAAATACATTTAAATGTATTTTTTTCTTTCCTTTTTCTATAAAACATTAAAAAAAGAAAATTATCCAAAATCTGGTCCTGATATCTATCCTAGGCGTCCAATCATTTGATTCATTTAAGCTTTGAAAAGGCATCTTTATGATGTTCAGCTCAATTTACAAGTTGCACTGTTCTGCAAAAATTGAAAAATAAACTAATTTTTTCTAAAAAAAAAAAAATAAAATTATTTCCCTTGTTTTGAGCAGGTGAGACAATTGGCTACTTAAAAAAGATGGTTTATGTTTTAAATAAGAAAAATAATCTCCATTATACTAATGGCAAACATATTTAGTGGGCGATTACCTGCTCATATCAGGAGCAAATACATTTTATTTTAAGCACATTTAACTCACGTTTAGATCCGTTTTTACAACGTAAAAGTAGATATTGGTTTTTCTGAGTGCAACAAATTTGATTCATTTAGTTAAAAAAAAGAATAACTTCTTAAAACAAAAGGATGGCTTAAAAAAACCTCACTGAAAACAAATGGTGTTGCTTTAATGTCTTCCCACTGGTGAAGAGCAGCGTTCAGTCCACGTTTCTGTACCTGGAGAAGAGGTTATAGAGAACGCGCAGCGTTGATTTAAGGTCGCAGTTCACGATATCTGAGGAAAACAAGAGAAGATTGGAGGAGTAAATATTAGTATTTCTTTGTTATGAAAACAAAGCAGCAATTTTTTACTTTTGTTATAAAAAAAAAAAAAAGATTTAATAGACTTTAATTTCAACTGTGACAAAATGGTCCAGGTTGTGTTCACCACTTGTCCTTTATTCTTTCTTCTGATTTGTAATGCCTAAATTTAAACATTAGTTTGCAGCTTTGCTTCACTTACTATCCCGGGTTTGTTTGTGTTAGCATTATGTTGCAGTTTCCATCTACTTATGTTTAGGTTAAAGCTATTACTTCAGGATTATTGGATGAATTTGTTTATTTTGTTTCAAAATATATTCATGGTTTTTGTTTTCCTTTTTACTCACCATTGTTAAAGTATTTCCCACTAAATTGACTAAATGATGTCATCCATTACTTTGCTGGGTTCTACCATTTAGAGGGTTTCCTTTGGAGTTATGCTTTGTATGTTTTTCTTTAAAGTAACTTTTTTAGGTATCTTGTTTCACATTGTTTATTTTGCAGACTCTTTCTTTATGTAGATGAGTTTGTAAATTAGATTAATTTTATTCTTGTTTCTCTGTTTAGACTTTGTTTTTTGTTTTTTACCTGTTTAATTGTGGCTTGGTCCACTCAAGTGCAGGTGTGTTGCCAATTGGTTATATAAGCACTGAGCTCTTGGAAGCTCGAGGAAATGTTTTGTCAAGAGTAAAATGGAATGAAAGACAACAGAGAAACAGGAACCAGTGGCTGAAGCTGTTTGTTTTTGGTTCACCTTATTGATCCTCGACCAAATTACCTCACATCAACAAACAGAAAAAACTATCAGAGAAAGATCTCGGAACTTCTCCAGTCATTCATAGTCCTCCTAGTCCAGTGTTTTTAATACAAACAGGAAAAAATAATAATATTAATTAATATTAATATTAATCCCTTCAAAGCTTTTTTTTTTCTTAATTTTTTAATCTGGCTTATATCTTCCACAGCACATCCCTACGCTGCAGTTATGCAGTTTGAATGAGAAGTGATGATTTTATGCACTTATAATAAAATTATGGAGAATGTTTTTATTAGCAAATTGTCTAACAAATCTGCTCAAATAAAGAGAAAACACTTAAAGAAAATTGTACAGTAAAACAATAGGTTGTTGAAACTTCTGTCTTAATTATGGAAACGTTTAAAATGTATGGTTCCTTTTGGATGACAGTAATTAAGAAAATAACAGCTGCTCCTCATCTTCATCTTTGTAGCAGAAAGCTGGGAAAAAAAAACTATTCCGGACAAAACTGACAGGATTTTAAAACTGATTTTTCCTCCATTCCTCTTTGACTCATCATTTTCAGTTTGGTATGATAGAGGTTTAAAACAAATAAGAAACCAAATTTATCTTCCAAATATAGTTTACCTGGTAAGCATCCATTTTGTTTTCTATAATTTCGAAATTTCGCCTCAAAATGTTTCCCAAATTTTCCTTCTAACCCTCCTGAACAGACCTGGGAAACATTATTGAGTATAATCCAATCCAAAAAGGTAAGATTTTAAAGATTTATAGTTTGAGTTTAAATCTAAGGGTTGATTCTAATGTCAAACTTTAGAGATGTATGGGATAAAGAGTTGGGAATCCAGTTGAAACGAAATATTTGGGATGATGCCATTAACAGAATTCCATCTTCCTCATCCTGTGCTCGTCTTAGTTTGATCCAGTTTAAAGTCGTACATGGGATTCACTTCTCAAAATCTAGGCTTTCTCAGATTTATGCGGATTCTGTGGATGAATGTGACAAATGCAAAGGTTCCCCCTGCGATTTGGGTCACATGTTCTTTCTCTGTCCGGAATTATATCATTTTTTGTCAAACTACTCCTCAATTATGTCTTCTGTCTTGAAAGTAAACTTGCAACCTTGTCAATGAATTGCTGTATTTGGTATCCACAACCCTAATTTAGTTCTAAGCTCTGCTCAAAAAGAGATCATTGCCTTCTCATCTTTACTGCCAAGGCGTATTTTACTTTTACACTGGAAGTCCGATAAATGTCCCTCAATGTCCCTCTGGGTTAAAGACATGATGTTTTTTCTGAAGCTTGAGAAAATCAAATATAGCCTTCGAGGGTCGAGTTTTACTAAAAGTGGCAATGCTTTCTCTCCTATTTTTCAAACTTAGAAGTTTTGCCTGACTGAAGGTCCCTTTTCCTTTCTTGTTGGAAATATATAAAAAAAAAAGGGGGGGGGGGGGGCGTTTTGGGGCGAAACTGTTGGACTGTAATTTTGGAATTTTTACTTTGGTGCGATGCTTTGTCAGTATTGTACATAGTGTATAGATCTATAGTGTATAGAATGACAGCAACAGTCATTCATGTCTGTACATTTATGTGGATACAAATATATTTGAATATGTATGCTTGTGTGTGTATATATAAATTATATATATATGTATCTTTGTTTTGTTATTTCCTCTTTTGGCTCCAATAAACATAATATGTTATTCTCTAGTACCAACCGAACAAAAGTAAACCCAGAGGATGATTCCGCCACCACCCTGCTCCACCCTCTGTGTGGTGTGTGTATTCGGTAGAGCATCAAGCATCATGTTAGAAATTATTTGAAAAAATTTAACTTTTGTTTGATCAAACACGCTCTCCCAAGAAGTTTTATGGATTTTACCGCGATCTGGAAATAAATTACTTCTTCCAAGCGGAGTAGAACAATCCACAACCACTGAGATATAATTCCAGATCCACAGCCTTCCTACCAGTTTTTATCCTCTACTTTTAAATTGTTTCAGGATTTATACAGGAAGGAGTTACTCTAATTTAATGCATTTTAATGCTCTGAGAAATGATTTTAATCCCATCAACAAGTACCCATGACTATCTGCATTGGTAAAATCATTCTTTACCGTCAACAGGCTGCAGCCATGTTCTGAATTTGGCGTTCTTCAGCCACTTTTGTTGAAATTAGCATTTTGCATTTCTCTAGCTTTAGGTTAGTTTTATCATAGTAAAGAGTTCTGCAGAAACACGCGGAACTAGTCATATCTAATAGATGAAATTGTCTTTCTGTTTTAAATAAAGCATTTTTAATGCAAAAATAATCACATTTAATTATTTTTATATCAATTAAGGCCTTAATTTATAAAATAATAATTTAACGACTTTTAATGACCTGCGGAAACCCTGTGTTATGAAGCAAAGTCCACTTTCAGTCACGCTGGTTTCATTTTGTCCGTAATTATTGATGCCTAACAGTTCAATGGATTTTCCAAATCCTTCTTATGTTTGATACCATTGAGCATTGAAATTCTGCTGCAAACCGTGGCTTCTGCTGAAGCACGCTAACAGGCAAATGTTAGGATAATCCTACCAGGACATCTGAGGTGTATTTAGGGTTAATCAGATTCTGTAAAATAAATGCTAGTCTTGTAAGTAGTGCATGATGAAACCGAACCATAATCTGGATTAGATGTGTGGACGCTCACACAACCAGGTTACAACTAATAGTTTTAACTGAAAGCAGAGCATTAAAGCAAAGCAAGTTTATTTCTAAATCCCATTTCAGTAGCAAGACCATTTAGAGTGCTGAATGTAACAGAAAAGATACAGACAAGATAATAATAGAAAATAAATAAAAGTTATACGACTAACTGAACTAATAGAGTTTAAATAGTTCAGTTAAAGGCCACTGTAAAAACTTTTACAGTTTTCTGGCAGTTTATTCCAGATTAGTGGAGCGTAAGAACCAAAAGCTGCTTCTCCAAGTTTGATACTGCAGAGTAGATATGATCTATTAAAGCTTAGAGGTCTGGCTATCGATCCACTGCCAGCCAGTCTGTAATGTATTTTGGAGCGAAGCTATTCAGTGATTTCTAGACTAACAGAAGGATTTAAAGTCTATTATCTGAGATAGTGAAAGGACTTTAGAACTGGGCTGATGTTCTCCACTTTCCTAGTTCTAGTGAGGATGCAGGCAGCAGGATTCTGGATCAGCTGAAGCTGTCTGATCCACTTTCTAGGCAGAGCTGTGAAGAAACCGCTGCAGGGATCAATTCTACTAAAGATGAATGAAGCAGGAAGTCCTGTTCTTCAGGTCATAGCTGAGTTTATTGTGTTCAGTTGTTTATGCATTTATATCTATATAACGTATATAGGTTTTTCATTATATGTAGATTTATTAAAATTTTTACCCGTTTATGAATCCGCATATTTTCAATTTGAGTCTTATTTTGCTGCTGGGACACATGAGTCACTTCACAGATGGATAATAAAGTAATAAATAATCTCTATTCCATCATAACTTCATTTGTTCTTATACCATTTTTTTTGTTGTTGAATTGTACAACATGTATTACAGGATAAATCCAGCTGGATAAAGGTCCATATATAAGAGAGGAAGCATTGTAACTATTCACCTTGCTCTTATTTCTTTCTATTAAACCATTACAAACACTTGACATTTTACCAGGGCGGTGCAGAGTCTTTATTTTCACCACCTGAAAGCCCAAAGTGAGACAACTCAATAGAAATAGGAAGAAGTCCTAGTAAGGAGCCGACTCTGCAGAAAAACCAGTCACCATTGTAGACTTGTTCTGTGACAGGGCTGACATGATTCAGCAGTAACTGTAAAAGTAGGGTTACTACACCGCTCAGTTTTTATGCTAAAAAATCTTGACATCCAGAATAAACTCTACAGACTGAATAAGAATAACAGAGAGAATGACAGATGGAGGTATGCTTGTATAACGAAATCTTTTAACATGAAGTATTTTGAAACAAGAAAGACAAACTGCCAACCAAATAAGGTGAATTACTGTTAAAATCGTCTTATTAACCTGCTCAAACTAAGGGGAAGTGTAAAGAGGCAAGCGGCATCTTACCCTCAGCTCGGGGCTTTGGTCGCTCCAGACCTCCATCCTGCATCAGCTCAAAGGAGAACGACACGTTGTGAACCTGTGGGGAGAAAGATAACGCCCTTTGGATGTGCATTGTAGGACGCCAACCCGTCACATTTTCTGACAAGGGAACACACGCCTCAGTGGCTTTATTCATCACCGCTGTGTTGGACGAGTACAGCAGCAGCAAAAAAAATAAATAATCCATCAGTCTGTTTATTGTTTTTTAAACATCATTATCTCTTCATCATCAGGATCTTATATTTTTCATCTTTTTCTTAACATTTCTAAGTAAACTTCATTAGGGTGCAGCCTGCTTTATGTTTGCTGTGCAATTCAGATGGCTTCCTTAGTGTTAATGGAGAATGTTTCCCCATCTTTATTTTCTTTAAAAAGCTGTGCTTTATTTAGCCATGTGTAATAAACCGATGGACCAGTCATATGGGATGTTTGGACTTCCTGTTGTATCTAACTTTTTGATTAAATACGAATCTGTTAAAGATTCTCTGCGTGACCTTAGACCAAAGTAATATCTTAAAGGTATAGTGGAGGATTTCCTTTTTCTGGTGGGATCATCTCAATAATTGGTCCTCCTAGTTGTCAGTAATTCTGGTGATATGTTTACGTATGTGCTCGCCCCCATTTTTACTAACAGCCAAGAAATACCTGCCTAGAACTACCTCCCCTCACGCACACAAACGGATTGAAATATGAACAAACTTTCAAACATATTTTTAATGTTTTCACATTTGTTATGCATGGATGCCTGAAAATTTTAAGAAGCAGATATGAATAAGAAGAAAAAAGTTCTTTATGAAATTGTCCCTTTGGGTTCGAATGAAGCAGCTTGACCTGCAAAACACAAAATTAACACAAACATATGGCTCCCTTTCCTGTTTGGTGTGATGTCGTCGTCGGCTCTGCCGCGTTCTTTCATCTATTATCTTTATCTTTCTGAGCTCATCTTCATCCTGACCCACAGTTGAAGCGACACTCTTAAATCAATACTCCATTTCGGAGGAGCCTTGTGTGCTTGGAGCCAAGACTCTCCTCTCAATAGCTTGATAAATGTCGTCCGTTCTCCCCGGAGCCCGTCCGGCACAGCCGCTGGCCTCCGCAGTACTACGGTATTCTGAACAGGCAGTCTGTGGACGCCGCAGTAGCCTTTTGTTTGGGTGTCGGCCAGCGGCTTCTGCCAAGCTGCGGAGCAAAATGGGCATCGGTGCTACAATGCACATCCTGGCCCAGAAGAACACGCTCCGGCCTCACAGCTTCTGTAATCTCTTACTGCACAGGGAAACGGCGCAGTGGCTCAGGGGCTCGGCTCTGTTTCCGTGTGTGTGCGTTGGAGGCCTATCGACGCTGCACCAGGGGGAGGGCTGGGAAAAGTAGCACAGGCATCAAGAAATCACTCCTGCTCCCGCTCAGCGGATCTCTTCTTCAGACTCTTCCTTTCTGCCTTTTTTTTTTGTATTAGATGGGCTTAGGTCATGCTTTTCACACAATAAGCCTTTGTTGGGCAAAGCTTTTAGTACTTCACAGCAGGAAGGACACACACACGCAAACACACACCCACACAGTAGCCATATAAACCATCTTTCAACTGTTATGCCTCTTCCCTCAGATTGGTCTTCCTCTTACAGTATTTTCTCCCCAAGCGAAGATCGCTCAGGTCCTTTTTTTGTTTCCTGTACTGAGTTTCTTCTCATCGAACACTGTAGATCAGACAGAAACCTTAGAAAATGGCAGAATCACCTAAATATCCTCTAATATTCTCCTGGCTTCAACAAGCAGAGTTCTAACAGAGTCTGGGAAACCAGTGATTTAATTTTAGTGACTGGAAAAAGACAAACACAGCGTTACCTATATGGAGGAACCAGGCGTTTGCATGTTGCTCTGAATGGTTCAGCCATCGTCTAATTTGATTTAGCGGTGCATGTTACAGCCACACACGGTGGCTCTGTTTGTTATTATTATCTGAGTGGCCTCTGGAAGTTGTCTCTCCAGCAGCGTACGGCGGGTGTTTCACACTTTCCAACCTTATGCCCTTGACTTTTGCTGCTGGACATTTTGCACCAACCATGCACCCATTCATACACGCTTAGATGTCTAAAATGGGCCGTTTGGGGCCCCTGGTGTTCATTTTTAACATGAACACCCTGCTGAAACATGTTTGGTCCTTCGGTAAAAGTAGTTCATGCAGACAGACACTTCCTGGATTATTTTTTTTGTTTTATTTAGGGATGGGAATCGAAAATTCCGTGTGTTCCAATTCCATGGGACCGTTTTGCAGCTCGCTTAACGATTCTGTTAACGGTTCCAGGCAGCACCAGAGCCGTTCTAGGCAGCATGACTTACGTCACGTTTTTTACACAAGGTACGCATACGACATTCAGTAAGCAAGTACGATGTGACCAGGCGTAAGTCTAGAAAAGCAAAACAAAAAAAAATGGCGTCCCATCTGGTAAACTGAACGGAAGTTTGGTGGTAAAGTGGCAATAACCGTGGGAGGAAATACATCCAACATGCAGAAACAGCTGCACACACAACATGGCATACATTTTAACGAATGCCGTGTTTTTGATGTTTCCGGACAGAAGCTGAAGTTACGATCAGCATGGAAGGCAACTCTGGTGGTTAGTAGCTAGTTTTATATCACTGGCTCTGCTTAATGTGGTTCCTAGTAAATCATATGCCATTTCTGGAAATAAACCAGTTTCCTGCCTCCCTTTGGGGCTATTAAAAATGCTACAAAGTTGCTCCGCAGTTCAGTGAGAGAGAGAAAGGTGACGCTTGTTTATTTAAATCAGGGGGAGATGAGTTTATTTCCCGAAATTGTACAGTAATGCTTTTTCATTGAACGGATGCTATCTTCATTCGATTTAGATGACTGTGACGAGGCGGGTAGCCTGGCTGCTCAGAGGCTGGCAGCTCCTGTTCACGGACTTCTGTTTTCATCGAGGCAGACAGAGATAGAACGTCCCAGGAGAAGGTAGACGAATGTCACCGTACACTTACCAAGTTCATTGTTTCGATTCCGATAAGGGAATCGGAATCGTGAAAATCTTATAAATTCCCAACCCTAGTTTTAATCAAGATTTTCCTTAAAGCAATCTTGTGTCTGCAAGGACCAATCAGGAGGAGTCTTACGGAAGAGGTTTGTCTCCGCTAAACCTGTCAAAAAACATTTTCCTTCTGAAGGAGAAAATCAGTCTGAGGGCAAAGACGCTTTCGAGAGCGCGGCCGCTGGATAGAAAATCCTGCACGCAGTGATTTTCTCCTCTCAAAGCGCCATTTTTTCTGCGCGACAGTAGATAAACCATGCGCAGAAGTAGTTTAACATACATGCGAGCATGTTTACTTTGCTTGTGGGCGTTTTTTGAAATAAATTTGAGGCCATACAACAGAAATAGAAAATCACAGATGAAAATCTTGATTGTATTTAGCATTTTTACTAACAATTTATCTCTGTACATTTTTAAATACACAGTCTAATTAAATATTTGTCTGGCAGCCATATTTTCCTATCTGAACAGATCTTTTAATCTTGTTTGCTTCCCTCATGAAATGAAGCAGGACTTTTTGTCCTCATTTTAAGTAGTGGCTAGTCTGACCAGCAGACATATTTTCGTGGAAAAAGGCTGTTTTCTGGCCATTAACTTCTTAAAACTTTTCCTTTTGTTTGTTTCATTTAAAAAAGTAAAAAACACATCAACTAATGCACAAACAGACAGTTTTCTTTGATGCTTTGAAACACCTGGTTCCCACTGCAGAGTGAGCGAATCTAAGTGATCGTCTTCTTGATTAGCCGATCCGTTTTGACTCCTCTAACTTCCAGTGGGAGGTAGTATTATTGGAAACGTAATGAACTTAGTACCTTTTGGTCAAAATTTTCAGGCGTGAGAAAGAAGTTGTAGAGCGGCACGAAGTATCCTTCCAACAGACCCATCAGCAGCACCAGATAAACGCCGTCAGCAAACTAAAGGAAAACAGACGCACAAACACATGAAGCAAAACTTAATCAATCTGATTAATATTTACATTGAAGAGGCAGCGTTACATAAACTGTTTCCAGTCACAGTAAGAGCTTAGAAAGAGTTTGTTGGGCTCATCCTACCGTCATTCAGCACAGAAAACAGAAACTAATTCTTTGAATTTAAAACCTTTTAATTGATTTTGTAATTTCTGTAAAGTATCTTTTAATATAAAAAAAGAATTTAAGCTGCAGCTGTTGGGGAAACCTTTCAAACTTTAGTTCAGGGTAACTAATCATAAACGGGGATCGACTGAAACAGATTCTTAAAGGAATAGTACACCCAAAACATGATTAGCCTTCATTTTCTACTCACCCCCCATGCTGAACAACACTCTGGAGTACTTTTTTGATATCTCAAATGCATCTGGAGATCTGGGAGGCTTCTTGCTGTCTGCTGACATTCAAATAATGGAGGTCTATGGTGACCGAGGCAGAAAGGTCCATAAAAGTCCACAAAAAACGTGTCAATATTCCTCCATACTGCTCGTCCAATGTATTCCAAGTGTCCTGAGTGGGTAGCGTCCAGAATTTACTCGAAACGAAGTCATTTAGAATGTTTTTAGAGCATAAACAGTAGTGTATAGGATTTCCTGAAAGCGCGTTCACGAGTCTACGGAAACCGCGGCAGACCAAACCAGATGAAAGTGCGCATTCAGCTCGGCAAAGAACTCATGCTCTTCCTCAACACTGAAGTCCTCAGACATTTTTCTTTCGTTGTTTCTTTCTTTGCACAGGTAAACGGCACATTTCTTCTTCTACGCTTGCATTATCGGCAGAGCAGACGCTGAATGCGCACTTTCATCTGGTTTGGTCTGCCGGCTTCCGTAGCGTCGTGAACGTGCATGTGCGCGCTTTCAGGAAATCCTATACACTACTGTTTATGCTCTAAAAACATTCTAAATGACTTTGTTTCGAGTAAATTCTGGATGCTACCCACTCAGGACACTTGGAATACATTGGACGAGCAGTATGGAGGAATATTGACACGTTTTTTGTGGACTTTTATGGACCTTTCTGCCTCGGGCGCCATAGACCTCCATTATTTGAATGTCAGCAGACAGCAAGAAGCCTCCCAGATCTCCAGATGCATTTGAGATATCAAAAAAGTACTCCAGAGTGTTGTTCAGCATGGGGGTGAGTAGAAAATGAAGGCTAATCATGTTTTGGGTGTACTATTCCTTTAAGGGCGATACTCTATTTTTCTATATCAGTTTTAGATCACTGATATGAGCTGCCAATATTTGGGGCACATTCTTGGAGTCCATTTTGCAATTTTTTCCCCACTCTATTTGCATAATAAAAATGACAGAATGATAAGTTACAAAAAGTCTCAGTCTAAACAGGGATAAAGATATATTGACGATTTGAAGTAACAGTAAAAACTGATGGAAGATGGAGGCATGCGCCATATGTGATCTAAAAGCATGGCTACTGAATGCACAAATGCATCGGTGAATGCATATGTCAGCCAATACGATACATGAAAATAAAGCATGATGATGCTGCCCACTGCCCAGCATCGCTGCTTTCTGCAGGGAGAGATTTACAGGACCATCAGTTAAATATAGCAGCTGGTTAATCTATTGGTTTATCTTTAACTATTAACTAATAGATTACTTTGATCTAACTTTTCTTTTACAGTAGGTGAAGTAATGCCTATTATTACAGTTACTGGATACATTTCTTTTCTTTTCCCCTCGATAAAAACACTGGCCTTTTACACAATTACTTGTTATTTTACACTAACCTACAGGTGAGTTCAGACCGCGCACAGTGTCTTCGGCGAGACTGTGAACTTACATCGTACCCCTATGCAAACCGTGCGGGGAAGCAGCAGGTGGTGATAGCCAGTGTTGGGTAAGTTACTTTAAAAATGTAATCCGTTACAGTTACAAGTTACCTTGTGTAAAATGTCATTGTTGTGTAACTTTTTCGATTACTTTTAAAAAGTAATGTAACTAATTACTTTTGATTACTTTTTGATTACTTTAGGGTTTTAATGAGTATTGACCCATGTTCAACATTTAATTTTTGAGAACTGAATGTGAACCTTAAAAAAGCACTAAGCTGAGAGGGAACTGCTGACAGGCGATCACAGGATGTCCACAAGAAGAGATGCCAGCACCAGGCATGGAAGATTTTCTCAGACTCCTCTCATCGAGCCATACTCTTTCTGTTCCTCCCCCAGGCTCTACCATTTACGCAGTTTGCAGACTAACACAAGCAGGTTCAGGTTGATAGCCGGCAAACACTTCTTGCGCTGCACAGTTAAATTTGAGCCATTTTCACAGATGTAAATGAAATGCTCCTTAAATTTCCAGCGCTGGAAGGCTGTCATTCTTGATGCGCTGCTTGAGCTGAAATAGAACCGTCCGCTCGCTTCTGTTCCTCAAGGAGGCTCCACCAGCACAGGATGGATCATCAGAGTGGCAAATATGATAGAGACAAGGAGCCGTAGCGGGAAACTGCGATACAGGGCGCGAAGCAATAAAAATATCATTACAGTAAACCCTCGTTTATCGCGGGGGTTACGTTCCTAAAAGTTATTATACAATGAAATACTCCATACAACATTGAAATCAGGGAACAAAAACTTTTTACAGGCCCAGGCATTTGTTAAACAAATAAAAGTACGGTATAGACGTTGTTATTGTTTTTTTTTTTTTTTTTTTTACAAATAAGTACTGTACTGTAAAATAATATAGTTATCAATAAATAAGTAATAATTTTAATCATCAATACGAACTGAAGGGTTAATATTGCGGGGATCAGCACCGCCCCACCGTGACGGATTGGAACGGAAGAAAATGAAAAATTATGAAAAAAAATCCAAAGTACAGTAGGACAAATAGTGACTGACGTTTACAGTACAGTATTTCACTGCTGTTTGACGGAGCCGCTGCATCCTGACTCTGCTCTGTGGCATTTTTTTCTTCTAAAGCCTGCGGTACAGGTGTGTTTTTGAGAGCATAGAGAACATAGTTATCGGTAGTTGTTGTCGCTCTTTTTTCTTCTGGGCCAAAAGATCCTTATAAACCGACATGCCACCATTGATTATGTTTGACAATAAAGTTTAACAATGCATGATGCAAATCCATGAAGCAGCGAGACCGTGAGAAGTGAACCGCGTTATTGCGAGGGTTCACTGTACATATTTTGCAAAGGTTTTTCTTTATATTTTTTAACAAATGTAACTAAATTTGTAATTCTTAATATTTTCGGAAGTAACTGTAACTGAATTACATATTTTCTCATTGTAACTGTAACGAATTACAGTTACTCTGTTTTTGTAACTAAATTAGATAACGTCGTTACATGTAATCCGTTACTCCCCATCACTGGTGATAGCATACACTGCTCCTCTCTCTCCTCGTGCTACTAGATAGAACTGAGGTGTCAAACAACAGCGGCACATGGAGAGAGAGGAGCGGTGATCAATGAAGATAAAAAATCTTAACTTTCCATTGAAACTGCGACAATCAGAGCCGATCACGTAATCATTTTAGTTGTGATTCAGGTTAAAAAAGTGCAGCCAAGGCAAAGCTTTTTCAGTCAAAATGGAACATAGAGGAAATAATGTTAAACGATGAAACAAGGAATGCTCTGAAGAGGTTTCTGCTGGGGTAGATTTAGAAGGAAGTCCCGTCGAATCTGACTGTCATCCAGACGCAGCTCTGGATGAACCAATGTGGACAAGAAATGTATGTTCTTTCTAAGACGATTCAAAAGTTGTTCATAGAGAACAATTTAGCAGCAGTCTGAGAAGTTCACGTGTGCTTTTATTGTGAAATGCTAATGAGACCTTGACAGGAAATGACAGAATTGCCGGGGGTAATGGCAAGGAGGCTGATGAATGATGCTTCGGGCGTAAATACTAGATTATACAAGGATGTTTGAATTGTGGGAGTTATCTTCATTATGTTTAATATATTTAAAATAAAATTAAACTTGTTAAAAACAACATGTTTAAAACTTCTTTATCTTCAGATCCTTTCTCCCTTACCGCTAGTGAAAAATAAACATAAAGGAATTGATCATTAGTTTCCCGGTAGGTCCAGAATAGCCTCCAGACGGTCCTTCTAGTCAGGTCAATATTTCTGACCAATATTAGTGTTTTTTTCTTGTTTCTCATTGGCTGATACATGCAAGCATTCAATGATCCATTAATGCATTTAGCAGCCAAGCCCTGAGATCACATAGACTGCATGCATCGATTGTTATAATTTTATCAGATTTGTTAATAGTAATGTTTTTATATTTAAACTTGTGTAAGATTCAGTATCATTGTATAATTTTAAGAATGTGATCAGCATCACAGGATCGGCTATACTGATGGTAAAATAATCAGAATTGGCCTTAAGAAAAACCTGCATCACTCGACCTCTACACCTTTTCAAAATGGCTGCTGGACAGACTTACCTGTGTGTCCAGTTCTGACACTTCTAGGTTCAGCTTGTTCAGGTGTTTGTTCACAAAGGTGATCAAAGTCTGAAACCAGGCAAAGCAACATGTAAGAAATAATAGCATGGATACAGGCCAAACTATTTTACATTACAATGGCTAAAACCATATAGATTACCATTTTAAAACAAATTATTATGCAATATAAAGAAAAAATAATGGAATTAACTGATTTGAAAATTATTTGTACGTTTAACAAATTAAAAGTTTCTGCAAATATCAATTTCTAAATTGGGATAGAGAAAAATCTAGACTAATAGGAATTGATGCAACTTTTTACAAGAGTAATAATTTCATTTAAATGGTGATTAAATAGTTAACCAAACAAAATATGAAAAATGAAGATTCTCAAACTTTGAAGTAATCTTTGTATTTAACTAAATTTAGGGCAAATCAGTAAAGAATAATAATAGAGTCTTAACAGAAAACCACACTTTTCAACTTTTTATTGTATGAAATGGATTCAACAGTTCAGGTTGTTACTAGTGGAGGGTTGAGGTTTGTTTGAATTGTCGGCCTGTAGCTTAAGATTTTTATAAGTACATTAAATGTTAGCCATCACAGCCTGGCAGGAAGTTTAAACCTCACACAGGTTTCTCTAAATAGCCTCAGATTGATTGAATGAAGAGAATTAATCAGAGGTAATTATATGGCAAAAAGTAAACATGTCTCACATTTTTGAGAAAATTCTGAAAATCCAGACTTTAGTTAATGTGACCTTAATAGAGTCTGTAAAGATTCCTGCTGCATCGCAATGTTTTTAGAAATGTGACGTTTTGGACCTTAAACATTTTTCACGTCACACTTCCGCAACTTTTAAAAACAGAAATTTAAAAACATTGTGGCAGAAATTTCTACCGAGGCCTGGATGGATGGATGGATGGATGGATGGATGGATGGATGGATGGATGGATGGATGGATGGATGGATGGATGGATGGATGGATGGATGGATGGAAGATGAATGGATTCATGGAAAGATGAATGGATAGATGGATGATGAATGGATTAATGGAAAGATGAATGGATAGATGAACGAGTGATGGATGAATTGATGAATGAATGGATTAAAGGATGAATGAATGATGGATTAATGGAGAGATGAATGGATGGATGGATGATGGACAGAAGGACGGATGGAATAATGGATGGATGGACGGACGAGTGATTGATGAATGGATTAAAGGTTGAAGGAATGGATGGATGAAAGGATGGATGGATTAATGGATGGATGGATGAACGAGTGATGGATGGATGGATTAAGGTTGAATGAATGGATGGATGACAGACGAAAGGACGGACGGATGAATGTATGAATTTTATGTTAAAATGATAATACAGGGAATAATTCTTTCCAAATATTCTGCTTGTATTTTCATGTTATCCAGGCCCAGAAAATACAAACATTTCAGATTACGTACAAACACAGAGCTGCAACTAAACCTTATTTTCCTAATCAATTAATCTGTCGATTATTTTTTCCATTAATAATCAGATAGCAAAAGACTCATTAAAGAAGACGTTTAAAGAATTTAAAGCTACAGTGTGTAATTTTCAGCGACATCTAACGTTCAGACTGCAGACCGCAGCAACATGAACATCTCCCCCCCACCGCTTCTCCCCCCCAACAGTACGGCGAGCGTTACGGGACAAAATGTCTTCCACGACGTCCGCATCACCTACCTTCTCAAGTGATGAGGTTTGTTTACATAGATAATATTACAGATAGTATTCTCAGGCATAATACTGCCATCTATTGTTCAGTACCGTCTCAGTTCATCTCTCTCAACTTGCCGTAGTTACTTTCGAGCGTAATGGGCGATCTCGCAATCGCTAGTTTGTTGGCTCTGCGCTGCCGTAGCGCAAAGATGTCTGCCTCCATGGCCGCGAGACCCGCTCCTATGTAATTATAAATAACGAATTCTAAGGCAACGCAAATATTAAGGTTAAGAGGCTGAGCTCGTAGATGATGATAAATAACATAGTTATGTATAATATATTACATTTCTGACTGTATATCCCTGGAATTATTACACACTGTAGCTTTAATCCAGGAGCAACTAAAACCAGTTGAAGAGTTCTGGTTATAGAGCATAATGACGACAACTTCTTTTTTTATCTTAAATGCAAAATGTTGATATATATATTTTTACAATGTTGGTATAATTACTGTTTTAAGTTGGTTACTCTGTCAACTAAAGGATTTTTTAGTGTGTTTAGTTAACGATTAATAGATTACTTAACCAGTTGATGATTATTTCTATAATCGATTAATCTGATTAATTGTTTCAGCCTTGTACAAACTCTGGGTTTGTTTCATCATAAATGTCACAGGTTCGAGTTAAAAGATCAATCCACACTGTAAAGCTTTGCTACCTTTTTGACAACATTCAGCTTATCTGGAGCGTGGTCAAACAGGGTGTCAAAAGCATCGCGCTCTGTGGACAATAAAGAGCATTTACCACCAAATACCAAACAATAGAAGAATGAAGGAGGGCAGAGAATTCAGGGAATATAAACACATACCATGTCTGCCAGAGAAAGCCCTGGAAAAAAAAAGAACACAAAAATCAAAAGCCGGTTCTTCATATTGAGAATGTAACGGTTGATTGTTCATAATAAACAGCTGAAATAAGATGCTTCAGGTTCAACCACAGAGGAATGCAAAGAATGGGGGGGATTATGCTAAACAAATGACAATAGAGCAATAAAGCCAGCTCTAATATAATATCATTAACAATAGACACAGATGCACCTTGGGTGTTTAAATAACCAGGGACGGTTACAGCAGCCACACGGTTACAGTACAATACGTTCACCTTTCAATACAGCAGGGTATCAAAGCAATAAATGAAGACATGTCTGAGCAGAGCATTTCTATGGGAATGAGGGGCCTCTTGTCTGTTATTATACTGTTCGCACTTTGGAGGATGCTTTTGTTGGAAAGGCTCAGGTGGTTCTGGAGGGTAGGGATCGCTGCAGCATGAGTGTCCCCGAAGGGAACGATATCGCAGCGGGCAGGCCAGCGAGAAATGGCAGCAGCACAGACAAACAAACACGCACGCACACATGTTCACGGTGTAATCTCTGATGGCAAACGCGGGCAGGTCTGGGCAGCGGTCCTGGTGGTGTGGTAATTTCCACTGTGACCACCATTGTGTGTGTGTGTGTGTGGGAGTGTTTATTAGCAGTCTACCCATCCACCATGACCAAATGTGAGTGCATGTGAGTGCTGGCCTGCTGTTATCTCCCTTGTTGGTGCTGTCAGGCTGCAGGACAGCCTCACAGGGAGGGGGAGACAAAAAGTCCAAGAGAGGCTCTGCTCATCTGAAATTGTCTAATTTTTCAGCTAAAGCATCGCTTGTTTAGATAAAATGTTCGTCATTTCACCTTTGAGTGACACCTGCTCAGAGGGGAGGGGGCTGCAATCAAATATGTCGTTCCGAGAGCAACATAAACAACATTTTAGGTTAAACGTCCTAGCAACTGAAAAGACATTTTGTTCATTTCAAAGCTGCATGCTCTATATACACTGGAAAAAAATCTAAATCTAGATAAGTCATTTTTTCTTAAAATAAGTGAATTTGTTCTTAAAAGCGACATTTTGCCAATGACCAAAACAATTTACATTTAAAATAAGAAAACACAATTGCACTGCATTGCATTGTCTTATTTCAAGTGCATTTTATCTAATTATCTTATTTTAAGAGTTAAAAAAATCACCTCACTTACCTACTCAAATTAAGGGTAAATACAATTAATTTAAGACATTTTGACTTATTTCTAGATCTTTTTTCCAGTGTAAAAAGAAAAATCTGCACAGTTCCAGTGTTTTCTTCCCACTAATCAATATGCAGATATATAAAAAGCTTTAAGATACAATATAACTCTTTGGTTTGCCTGTTTTATTTTATTTTTTGTAATTTGGAGACAAACTTCAAGGTTATTTCTTTTCAGATCTGCATCAATCAGATTTCTGATCACCGATTTAGTGAAGCTCTGATTAGACTACATCTATAGAAATATTCCTTATTTTCAAACAATTATTTTGGGATCAGAAATTTTTAAGTGAGGCACAAAGATGTGCTCATTTTTAACCTGTTTAAACAGGTTATCTTCTGTTTAGACGTGTAAGGGATTCAACATCCAATCCAAAAAAGGTACAGATGAGATGTTTGCGCTTCGTAAGCACAGAAGTATCTGTGTAGAGCTGTCTTTTTAGCAGAAACAAGCGTCTATCGGTGGCAGAGGAGAGTGCGTTGAGGTGCAGAAGGGGCTAACACAAAGACATGCGCTCACTCTGTGTTGCCAGTGATTTCTTCTTGGATCTGCCTGGACTGAAGGATGCCTTCTCTCTTCTGAAAGACACAAAGGGAGACAGCTGAATGAGAGCAGAAAAAAGTGAATAAATAAAAAATTAAAAATGGTGTTTCATGGTGGAAATTAAAAACCCAAAAATAACAAACCTAAAGACATTTATAGATATATAAAAAAGACAACAAAACAGAATAAAGTTCAGCAAACAAAGTGAATATGAGACAAATAAAAATGGTACCAACCTGGACTACCACTACTTGAATAGAAACGTGGTCTGGCAATCTGATTGGTGCTCTGAAGTGTTGTGACAGCGCCACCAACAGGTGCAGGATGGCAACTATACTCTTGGCATGAACCGCTGATGTTGAGAGGAGAACAAAAAAGGAGCAGCTTGCTGAGTTTAGGCCCAGACTAAATAAATGAATACATTTATAATATAGATAGGAGCATTTTATTTTTTTATTTTATTCATGCGCATTTTGAACATTTTATACCATGAGACCCCCAATATGTCACAACCATGAGTCCATGTTCCTTCTCTGGCTTTTGCATGCTCCTGTAGATTCCCTCCTATTCGCATTTGGACCCGTTTCTTTGGCTCATGTCACTTTGAAGGTGGAGCCAACCGGAGCAAAAAAACTGCCTGTGATTTGCTGCTTTTTACGAAATCCCACCTCTTGAAACTGTAAGGCTACGTTCAGACCGCAAGCAGCAAGAGCAGCAAAAATGCGTGTGCTGCTTCATTTTTGATGCTTGTACAAGCTTAGTTCTGAAGCGCAGCTGCCGTAGCTGCCTGTAACAATGGCAGCTATATTTGCTGTGATCAGTGGGTAAAAAGTAGTTTTACCACCTACCACCCCAACTTCGAAATACGGACTCAATTCTCCATTTTAAAATGCAACTCAAAACCCATCTGTTCAAGATTGCTTATTCTCTTTAAAAATATCAATTTCACTGTCACAGCCTCTGTATTTTTTAAATGTCTTTATAATTAGTATTTTTATTTTTTCTGACACTTTTTATGTTTTTGTACGGTGACCTTGAGTGTCCAGAAAGGCGCCTTTTTAAATAAAATGTATTATTATTATTATTAATATGTTTTTCAGTGAGAAAGTCCACCTGAAACCTTCATCTGTGCAGTCAGATTACCATCCTGTCTTCAAATATTATTTCGCTGTCGGAGCCGCTCAGACCCCCACATACCGGCGGTTCGCTGTCAGCAGGAATCCCGTTAAACAGCAGCCTACGGCCCGGTCGCATCTTCGCGGTTTGCCGCGGCGGCTGGAAGGCGGTTTTCATATATGTAATCCAAACTGCAGGCATGATAAAAGCGAACATGTTTTGCCGGCAGATTTCGGCATTTTAAGTTAATTTAGGCGTTAATAAACTGTTTCAGAGGAGTGATCATGGCGATTTGCATGAGCAGTGCTGTGTCTGTCAAACTGCCAGCTCCCAGATCAGCTTCTCTGATTGATTGATTTTGTGCTTTGAGCAGCAAAAGTAAAATTTTTCCAACTCAAGCAGCAGCCATGTTTGCAGCGTGTTCTGCGTGTCAGCTGCTCAGAAGCTTACAATGCGCTGCTTCAGCTGCTCAAAACACGCTGTGGGACGTTTTGCTGCGCCTTGATGCACGTCAACCATTGACTTTGCAAATAATCTAGCTGCTCCTGCTGTCTCTGCTGCTTTAGGTGTGAATGTAGCATAATATTGTTTTTTTTTGTTTTCCCCTAATTACAAAGAGTACTATATTGGCCCAAATATAAGACAAGGTTTTTTTTCGTTAAAAGTAATGTGGAAAATGTGGGATCGTCTTATAATCGGGGTCTAACAAACTATACAGGCTGACAGTTATCTGGGGTCGCAAAACGAACCTAACAGCAGAGGGCGCTAGTTTTTTGTAAAGCCAGTGACCTCCCTGTGGCTGCGTTATTTCTATCGCAACAGAAAATAAGTGACAAGGATTCTACAAAAGCCAGAGAGATTTGTAGACATTTGAGGCGGAGTTATGACGCCAATTTTAAAGATAATGGTGGTCAACGCAGCGGAGGCATCAAACCACTATCAGGCAGGAAATAAATACAGAGTTACAGAGTCCAATATCAAAAGATGGCAAAAAAGGCCTCTAAAATAGGCAAACAGCAAAAGAAAAGCTTATTAAAAAATAGCAGAGCTGCAGGGTCAGAGTAGGAGGGACAGCGAGCGCAGCGAGGTGGAGGACGACTGTGAGAAAAAGCCTAATGCAGGTTTTTGAGACGTTCCGTGAGCAAATTCCAGATTTCATTTGAGTTTACGTGTTGCATCATTTCAATTAAGGGTCATTACTGTGTTTTTGTTTTTACGTTTTTTTTTTTAATTGCACAAATATTTCAATGCAATATTATTTCAATGAAATTGCTAGCACTTCAATATAAGAGTTATTTAAACCAAATAAAATTGGTTTATCAGTCCCTTTTTTTGGTCTTTTAATTTTGTTCCTAAAAACTGGTCCTGGAAGAGGGGATCGTTCTATATTCTGGGTCGTCCTATATTCAGGTCAATTTTTTTCTAAGGGGTCACTGAGATTATGCTGCTTCAACCGAGGGTGAAATCCAATTAAATTGTTTAAGAGTGGCAAGAATGTACTTGCCTCTTTACATACTGATTTTGTTTCCGGCAGCCTCAAAATTAAGAACTAATTCTAAACCCAGGCAAAAATAATCAGAGTATTTTCCAAACCATTTCTAATGTACAAGAAAAATACAATCAGAAATGTTCCGGGAATGTCCTAGTCAAAGTCTGGACTTTAATATGCTGCAGCATTAGTGCTTAAAGAAGCATCCAGTGTGGCAAATAAAAAACTGAATAAAGAAGACAGGCAGTGATGATGATAACAGCTAATGTATATACTTGATGGCAGGTATTATGCAATAAATGTAATTTAATCACATGGAGCTAGTTGAGTTTCAGGGTTATTTTTCTATCTTAAAGGTGCATTAGGAGATGTTTTCTGATGCATTTTTTACCATGTGGCCTAAAGATCTCCCCACAGCCGCTTAGCAAGCAGTGAAATAGAAGGTCTGGAAGTGAAACTAAAATAAATGGTCCCCTCTACAGTGAGAAATCAATGAGAAGTGTCCACCAATCACAAAAGATGGTCCGTTGTATACGATTGGTTCCATGACCCGTCAATCATGGTTGTCTGCTTGTCCCTCCCCCCTGTGCGCGTACCCTGACACATGAACGAATCGACCCCCCGAATGTTCGTGCAGGACGGCATGGCTGGAAGCTAGCCACTGTTATGCTACGTCCACAAATAAAGCAGCAAGACCAGCAAAAACTTGCGTGCTGCTTCATTTTTGATGCTTGTACAAATTTAGTTCTGATGCGCAGCTGAAGCATCTCTGCTGCTCTGGATGAGCGGTGGAAAATGTGGGTCTGATCCGCGTCGGAGCTACCCTATCCTTTCTCTGCCTGTAACAATGGCAGCTATATTTGCTGTGATCAGTGGGTAAAAAGTAGTTTGAATCTAAGTGAGAAAGTCCACCTGAAAACGTAATCTGTGCAGTCAGTTCATCCAGATTACCATCCTGCCTTCAAATATCATTTGTCGGAGCGGTCAGACCCCTGTACACCGGCGGTGCACTGTCACTAGGAATCCCATTCAACAGCAGCCTATAGCCCGGTCATGTCCACATGGCTGGAAGGCGGTTTTCATGTACGTAATCCAAACTGCAGGCACCAGGATAATAAAAGCGAACATGCTCTGCCGGAAGATTTCGACATTTTAAGTTAATTTAGGCGTTAATAAACTGTTTCAGAGGAGTGATCATAGCGCTCTGCATCAGCAGTGCTGCCTGTCTCCCTGCCAGCTCAGAAATCAGCAATGTGCCGCTTCAGCTGCGCAGACACGCTGCAGACAGCATGCTCGTTCATGTGTTTTGTAGGCGTGGTTTCAAGGGGTGGTCTGAAGGGAGAGGCATTGTTGTGTATGTTCAAAAATATTGCTTGCTGGAACCGTTTTTCCAAGATCTCCTAAAGCACTTTTAATGGATAAAATCACCATTTGAAAATTGTGAAATTTAAAATTTGTGTTCCTTTAGTATATTTCTGTATATAACTGACATTTCTGGGTGATATGAAATATGTTTTTATTCTAAAAGAGAGGAATAGAAAATAAGACAGAAAAAGAACCAGAAAGGTTGCATGTATTTCTTCCCTACAGTGCTGTTTTCATGGTGTTTATGAGACTTTAAAGGGACACTATGCAACATTTTTCAGTTAATTAATGTGTTCCATAACGTTTTGGATGATTAAATGAGTCATTTCAGGTTGAACAAAGGTTTTCTCGGCCGCCCTGGTGGTCTGTGGGGGAAATACTGCACTTGCAACTGCAGGAGCACCGACCCGCACCCACAGGCTCAGAAGTCTCGTGAGAGTCAGTCTTGCTTTACGGCGAGAACTGCTACACCCCCCAGTTAAAAGCATTCTCGTTGCTAGCACAGTGGCGATATTTGTGCAGTTATGCTACGTTCACGCAGCAAAAGCAGCAAAATCGCGTCTGCTGCTTCCTTTTTGCTGCTTGTACCAGTTAGTTCTGACTCGTGGCTGAAGCAGCTTTGCTGCTCCGGCTGTGTCTGAGGCGCGTTGGGCGGAGCTTCACTATCCTTTCTCTGCCTTGCAGCTATATTTGCTGTGATCAGTGGGAATAAAGTAGTTTTAATATGTGTTTAAGTGAGAAAATACACCTGAAAACGTAATCAGTGCAGTCAGTTCATCCAGATTATTATCCTGCCTTCAATATTTTTTCTGTCGGAGCCGCTCAGACCCCCACATACCAGCGGGGCGCCAACAGTATGGATCCCTTCATCAGCAGCGGTTCACCGCGGCAGCTGGTAGGTGTTTTTCATCTAAATAATCCAAACTGCATATTCTGCCGGCAGATTTCTGCATTTTAAGTTAATTTAGGCGTCAATAAACTGTTTAAGAGGAGTGATCATCAGCGCTGTGTCTCTCTCCCTGTGTTAAACGCACCGACGCGCTGCTTCAGCTGCTCAGACGTGCTGCGCCTGGTGCTCAAAACGCGCTGCGGGACCTTTTGTTGCGCCTTGACGCGCGTCAACCATTGACTTTGCATGTAAACTCGCTGCTTCTGTCGCGCCAGCTACGTCCAGTGTGAACGCAGCGTTAGTCATTCGCTGCTAAGCTCAAAACAACCGCGCCTGGCTTGACGGAGAAACCAGGAGAACAGCTGTGCATATTTACGACAGTGCACTTTTACTTTCGCCCTCTGGAGGGAGCCTCACTGGAAAATCAACACCGGTTGCATAGTGTACCTTTAAAAAACGAGTACATGATTAGCTCCTGATTAGCTCCTCTCTGCAAAGAAAAAAACGCCAAGTAAATATTGTTTGTCATCCAGAAACCAACTAAAAGATCAATTAAGAGTCTGAGGCTTTAGAGTGAAGCCAGCAGCATTGTCGCATCACAAAGTGAGCGTCCTTTACATCATCCCTGCGTGTAAGGATCGGAGCAGGCTAATTCAGGACGGGGGCATTTCTACTACATCAAAGAGGAGATGAAAGGTGGGGAAAAACAAAACCGAATTGATTAGGAGAAAGCTCCTCAAATCAAAAGGACAGCCAAATCAATCACCTTCCATGTTATCGACTGTGCTCCTTAGCATTTCTGAGGGCATCTCACAACAATAGCTTTTCAAGGACGACAACTGCAGCAGAGAAACTGCTAAGAATGTCAAAGTATTTCTCATTTAGAAAGCAATGCATTTAAAAATGTGCTGTACTGCTATAACTCCATCAATTATTTTTCTCCGTTGTTTTCTTGTTTTTTTTTTCACCGCATTTCTAATTCCTTCCTCTAAAATAAATAAAATCAGTTTGTTTTTCTTCTCTCCACATTTTTTCTTTTCGCTCAAGTTTCCACTGATCAGCTGAGTATCTTTTTTATTCAGCAGCAAACAGGAGAATGATTAACAGTGAAATACCAGAAAACGGAAATCAACAGGCTACAGATTAAACTTTGTGGACAATAAAAAGTTGATTTTCATCGAGGAGTAAATAAATGAAAACACCTCAGCAAAGATAGAGGCATTAAATCTAAAACGCAAACTTTCTAGGTCCCTTCATGAAACAAAACCTTTACTTGTCTGTTTTCTTTTTAAGCCTACTATAAAACAACATGGTGCTGCTGCTCATCTACAGATGATATTTTATCTTTTATTACTGGTTGGGATAACTTTGATTGGTTTTGCTAACAGAACAAAACTGCCTCATGAAATAATCCTGGTTTGGAAAATGACAATAACCAGGTGTATCCTTTCCCACGCTGGTTAACCTGCTCCAGGTGTTTGTAATCAATACTATTTATAAAAGGGGCGTGTAGTAGAGGTGAAGTTGCACTGATTTATTGGCTTTTTAGTCAGCAAAGAATTTCAACATTTTTGGAGATGTGAAACTGATCTTAACCACTGATCTTATGCATCTCTGCGAAGGTCAGCCACTACCAATGATCTAAACTTCATGGACATTTAAAAGTAGTTAAAACTAATTTCTATTACTGTAAAGATATTGTTCTTTTTTATATTCAATTTTGATTTTACATCAACTGTTATAATGAAAATATGTCCGTCCCTCTCCCCAGCCACTTGGGCCAGTTCCTCTGGGGGAATCCCAAGGCGTTCCTAGGCCGGCAGGTGAGATGTGCCCAGAACACCTCACCAGGGAGGCGTCCAGGAGGCATCCTAACCATTTGGAGGGGTAAGTTTTGGCCTAGTGGTTAGAGCTGTGCACTTATGCTCTGAGAAGGTTTCATGTTCCCGTTTCGATCCCAACTACCTGCAATCTGGGTCCATGAGCAAGACCCTTAACCCCCACGCTGCTCTGGGGCATCGCATAATGGTGGCCTACTACTCCCCAAGGGGATTGGTTAGATAAAGAGGGAACTTCGTTGCTTTGTACTTCACAATGTATTGACAATAGACTTGAATTCTATTATATGTTTCTAGATGCTTGAGTCGCGTCAAATGTTTCCTCTCGATGTAAAGGAAGGCAGCGGCTCTACTCTGATTCTTCCCTATGACCCAAAGCTCATGACCATAGAAGAGTGTAGGAACATAGATCGACCGGTAAATATAGAACTTTGCTTGTTGGCTCAGCTCTCTCTACCACAACGGACCGGTATAGTGCACGCTTGACAGCAGACGCCGCACCAATCCACCAATCGATCTTCCGCTGCATCTTCCCCTCATTCATGAACATGACCCTTAAGGCCAATTTATGCTTGTGACACATGGCCTCTTCAACCGTCAAATATGTCTCCGTGTGTGACCACACCCCCGCGCTGAGGATCTGCAACAGTCATCGCGCACCTCAAAAAAATCCTGACTATGCGTTGGAGGATCGCAAACCCGCGCAGACCTTAAGCGGAAGTACGCAGACAAAAAGCAACTGTGATTGGTCCTTGGTATGCCTTTCCGGCTCTCTGTGTGGTTGTCCTTCTCGATTCGGTGCCGGGGCGCACCATTTTAAAAAAACGAGGAACAACTACAATTGACAACTACGACCAAATTGCCAAAAATTGCTCTGCCAAAACGAAATTCTCCTAACCATCTGCCGTTCTCAAAAGTTCTCCAATAGGCTCCCCCCCACGCTTTGGCGGGAAACCTCTGTGCGTCCCTTGAAATTCCAGACCAATGGTGCAGAAGCATACCAGCAAAACTGGTTCGCGAGCAGACCCAAGCAACATTTGATGTGTGCGGATGCAGAAGTATAATCTGATCTTTAATCTCCTCCACTAGGGGTAGTACATCCTCCCCAACCTGGAAAAGGCAGTCTACCCTTTTCTGGGTAGACTTTTAGATTTCTAGCAAATATCAGTATTTGCTGAAAATAGGAATCAGCATCTCAAGCTTTTTAAAGATCAGTTAAAGGTGGTGGCCTGAAATGTTAAGCAGCTCTATTTTTTTTATTTTACATAAATAAAAATGTTTCATCTGCTCCTCACAGTCGACATTCCAGCGGATGCTCCTGGTGGACAGTTTGAGCGATTCGTTTATACGCTCCAAAACCGTCTGCAGCTTCTGCTTCTGGGCGATCTCCGATTGGGTCACCTCTGCCACGTTCAGTTTCTCGCCTTCCAGCTTCTCTGTAACAGAAGTAAAAGAGTTTAAGGCCACAGGTGGAGTTCACAGTTTCTAAACAGCAATCAGGTTTTCCACTTAGTTTCTTCTATATCAGGAGAATCCAGCAAATAAACCAGCAATAAACCGACATCCTATGCACCAAACAAGCAATCCTTTCTGTGTACTTTCTGTGTAATGAGTCCAGAGAGATCCAGCCTTCAATAAAAGAGATTTTAAATATTTAGCTTCAGCACCTTGTGATGTAGTTCAGATTGAGTCAGATGAATGGCATTTCATTTTCAAACGTGCCGTTTTCTGCAAACCATCAACAGAAACTTGTAAATCAAACTAAATTATACATTTTTTTCTTCCTTTTTTCCTCATGTTATTTATAATTAGCAACCTTCCATCTTGGTCAGGAAATATGAAGTTTTCCGCTGACCTTCCTCTCTGAATTAAGAGTTAATCAATAATAATAATAAAAAAAAATATATATATATATATTCTTATATTAAATTCAAAGTATTGCTAAGTGGTAAAACCATATTAATATACACTGATTAGAGATCAATCGGCACAGATTTTTAAAGGCCAATGCCAACAGTGATCACTTTGATACAAGTCTAAACTATCTCTGGTATGTGCCGCTGATATTTCCAGGCTGATCCTTGGGGCTAACATTGCTTTTTCTTTCTCCATTTAAATGACCAAAGTGACACAGTGATAGAAAATGTTACATCCTTCTGAATAAAAAAAGAAAAAAAAAAAAAACTTATTAAACAATCAAACATTCCAGTCCAGCAGATTAAAAAACGGCTTCTTCCACATTGCCATTAGTAGCTGCCGAATGTTCGGTGTGAAAAAAAAAAAAGCTGAATGTTGGAAAATATATATCTCAGTCCTAGACAAATAATTGTTAGTTGCAGCCCTAGGACAACTAAAACAGGAAAAAAAGGGAACGCAGAACCAACTGCTTGGAAGATCGGCTGCCTGACAGCACAGCTTGCAGAACATTGACTTGAAAGCATCACAATAACAGAAGTAATGGAGGCAGTCCAATCCTTGAGAACATGCTGAGTTTTCAAGCATTTACATGATATTTTCATTTTTTGATTTCTTTTGTTTGAGAGAATCGTGTGGCTGAATCTGTGGCGTAAATATCGGTAAGCAGAGACAGCAGTTGCTTATGGGCCCAATCACTGACACCTGGTGGGTCCCCTATGTAATTGTCCATTAGGACGTCTCTTTGCAGATGCAATGGTGAGAAAAATTCCTCTTAAACCCACCTGGGTTCGATAAGCACTTAAGAACATGTGGTGATGCGCTGTCACCAATGGTTCCACTCAAGGTGCGCAGAATTGCATAATTGTATCTACTTGGCTGATTTATGAAACTGTCGCCGTATCCTGAACCTTTATCACGTGTTGTACGTCATAAGGGGTCCACCCAGATAATGTTGCTTACGGGCCTATTGTTGTGTTGTTACGCCATTGGGCTGAATCCCAACTTTTCCCCACCGGCATTACTGCTGGGTTGCTGTTCCGTATTAAATGCCTCCAAAGAAAAAAATATATTAACGTATTTTCTGGACTATAAGCCGCTACTTTGTTCCCCAAACCTTTGAACCATGCAGCTTATAAGAAGGTGCAGCTTTTCTGTAGATTTTTCCTAATCGTCAGAGAGGGAAGTCAAAGTTGGAAATGAAAGAATAAGGAGCTAATTTTCATTTAAGTACAACATGCTAGCAGCAGGCACCACGGAGAACAAATGTTCCGAATTCAGAGATTTTGCGATTTATTAGCCGCATTAGAGCTGCAGAACCAATGAAGAGACTGGGCTCAACTTCTGCAGAACTGAAACAAAGAGCTGATGAAGCCCCATCTTTCATTAGAAGCTGTTACTGCTGCGAGCCAACAAGCTAACGGGAGCTAGCATTCTTCTTGGTCGCTAGTCTAGGGGCTGTATGTAGAGCTCCCCCTACAGGTTTGGTGGGAGACAGTTAAGTACATATCATTGGCTTATAGCCCGGTGCGCCTGATATATGTAAAATTCAAGTTTTTTTCAAACCATTTAGTGGGCGTGGCTTATGGCTGTGCTCTATAGTTTGGAAAATACTGTAATTTAATTTTTTTATTAAATTTCTTTTTGTTTTACGCTTGTGTATACAAAATGACGCATAAATCTGTCTAAGTCTAAAATTTAAATAATAAGATTAGAGAGTAAGATAAGAAAATGTGCTAAAATAAAATAATTGGGTTAAATGATGTGAGAGTTCAGACTCTCACCAAATAGTTTCTGCAGAACTTGTCCATCATACAGATCTTCGGCTAGATCCTTCACAATGATCCTCTCCCCGACCAGGACGTCATTTATCCAATCAATCAGCACCTACATCCCAGAGAAAGAAGGAAAAGTTGGATCACAAATTCAAGGACAAGTTAAACATGTACAGATATTTATTCAATTAATAGTATTCCAGCTTTTAACCCGTTTGTTGAGTTTAACAGCAATAAGAAAAATTAAACATTGATTTTTAATTGTTTAGATATTACAATTTAGCTTCCAGTTTAATCAAAAATGAAAACAAATAAGAAAAAAAACTAAATATGGTTGTTATTGTAATTATAATAACAGACATCTGTTATTGCTGTTCTGCTGTGTGACCTCTATAAAAAATAATAATAAAACAGACAGAAACTCCCTAAAACTTCCTAAGATTTTCAAATAACATTTGATCATTTAATTTATCATTTTGATTATTTCAAGGGATATTCAATCATTTAAATGACCCATTTTACATTTTAATGGTATAAATATTCATTTGAAAATAATAAAAACAATGTTTGAGTCATTTATTAGAGAAATAAATAGATACATTTTAAATTTACTGAATTCCATAGTGCATATATTTCCTTCACATTTCTGTATTTCATGAGATATTTGGGCCCTCCATAAACCCTGGGGTTCCCCGGTCTAAACTGCCCTCCTACTGATATAAAAACATTAAAAATATTCAGAGGTTTAAAATCCAGACCTTTATGAGCTCCTGCAGTTTGCGATCGTTCTTGGAGTTGGGGTCCACCATGGTGCGCACCTCGTTCTCCTCTAATGAATACATCAAATATAAAGTTAATGACTCATTGGTATCCATGTGTTTTACTCTGAAATCGGGTCTCTTCCTGTCAGACCCATGACATTGCAGCTGAATTGCTGTGTAGTCCGAATAAGTCGGACCTAAGCAGCCTCCTTGTGTAAAATCGTGTCCGGTGTGACCATCACCATTGACTCTCAATGAACAAAAAACACCACAACCTCGACCGACATGATTTTCTGTCGGATCGGACGCAAAATTGGAACTGGTGTGTTCTGGCCTTAAAGGTACATTGTCTGTTAAAGATAGGCGCTGTGTCTGCACCTTGACGCTCTATCTCTCCGGTTCTTTTCCCTGAGAAGAGATCACTCGGGACAAACTCTTTTAATAACACTTCATAGCTTATATGTATTAAATAACCAGGAGACAGACAACAGTAGCTGGCACTAAACCTTCTCCACAAGCCACTGCAGTCGGTGGTCAAAGTTTAGAGTGCGTTCCCAATACAACCAACTACATAGCTAAACAAGTGTTACTTTGGACTTTTAAGTCCTTGTTAAATTTTGCAAAACATATGCAATCTTTATTCTTTAGTTAACCATGCATGTGATTAAAAAAGATAAACTGCTATTTAAAGTGCTGTGTCTGTACGGTGAGCACCAACCATTAAAGGAATAGTACACCCAAAACATGATCAGCCTTCATTTTCTACTCACCCCCATGCTGAACAACACTCTGGAGTACTTTTTTGATATCTCAAATGCATCTGGAGATCTGGGAGGCTTCTTGCTGTCTGCTGACATTCAAATAATGGAGGTCTATGGCGCCCGAGACAGAAAGGTCCATAAAAGTCCACAAAAAACGTGTCAATATTCCTCCATACTGCTCGTCCAATGTATTCCAAGTGTCCTGAGTGGGTAGCGTCCAGAATTTACTCGAAACAAAGTCATTTAGAATGTTTTTAGAGCATAAACAGTAGTGTATAGGATTTCCTAAAAGCGCGTTCACGAGTCTACGGAAACCGAGGCAGACCGAACCAGATGAAAGTGCGCATTCAGCTCGGCAAAGAACTCATGCTCTTCCTCAACACTGAAGTCCTCAGACATTTTTCTTTCGTTGTTTCTTTCTTTGCACAGGTAAACAGCAAATTTCTTCTTCTACGCTTGCATTATCGGCAGAGCAGACGCTGAATGCGCACTTTCATCTGGTTTGGTCTGCCGCGGTTTCCGTAGACTCGTGAACGCGCTTTTAGGAAGTCCTATACACTACTGTTTATGCTCTAAAAACATTCTAAATGACTTCGTTTCGAGTAAATTCTGGACGCTACCCACTCAGGACACTTGGAATACATTGGACGAGCAGTATGGAGGAATATTGACACGTTTTTTGTGGACTTTTATGGACCTTTCTGCCTCGGGCACCATAGACGTCCATTATTTGAATGTCAGCAGACAGCAAGAAGCCTCCCAGATCTCCAGATGCATTTGAGATATCAAAAAAGTACTCCAGAGTGTTGTTCAGCATGGGGGTGAGTAGAAAATGAAGGCTAATCATGTTTTGGGTGTACTATTCCTTTAAACCTCTCTTACAAAAATCTGGATACTCACAACTGCCTGAAAACAATTCATATTAATAAAAAAATAAAAATAAAACAAATGTCGTGACAACACACCTGTAGACTGGCCTCTTGTTCATAAGGTCAGAGATTACAAATTTATAATGAACAGAAGTAGATCAAGTGTTTGAATTTCCAAAGGCTGGTTATGAGAGCAGATGAAAGCTGACATTAATTTTACTTCACAACGCGTTTGAACTTAGCATCAAAACACCACAGTAACGGTATCAGTAAACAATCTGCATGCTTTTGTCACCTATGTACAGAAGAGGATTAGGGCCACTGAAAAAAAAGTTAACTGTTTTTAAAATTTTATTTCAGTATAAAATGACAAAAAAAATTCTGACTTTAATCTCAGAATTCTGACTTTTTTCCTTTTTTTATTTTTTCAGCGTCCCAAATCCTCTTCCATATCTATGAGTCTTTATATTTTAGCATATAAATACCATCCGTCTACAGACGTGCATGAGTGTGTGAGTGGGTTACCTAGCATGGTGTCCTCAGGGTCCAGCTCGTAGTGGGAGGGACTGAGAGGAAGATTGATGGCGTTAATCCCCTCCTCCTGAAGCTCGGTCACTTTGGAAAGGAGATACAGAAACAAATCAAAAAATTTTAACAGTAAACGTAAAGTGGATAATAAACAGATTAGGAGGAGGATTGGTTTAGTTCAACAAACCTTTACATCTGTTTGAGTTAAAACGTTTGGTTTGTTTGCAGCAGATTCCAAAAGTGTAGAGATGTAACTAGAGCCAGCCTTAAATGTGGGATTGTTAAGCAATTTTCTTGGTTGAAACGTAAAATAACATTTTTGTTTCCTTTGTTAGAGTTTATTGAGAAAAAAAGAAGTTATTTTGTTTTATTTAGAGTTTCCTCTTTAGTTTGTTTCTGCTGTGGCAACATGATTGACAAGCGAGTCCTGCAGAGGATGGTGAGGGGAAACCAATTGTAAGAATAAAAATCAAAAGGATTAAAAAACGGTTTGATCAGCTCATTTACACAACAGGATGGTCTTTCTTTCACTTTTTCCTCACAATTAATTAATGTTGGATGAAATGCTTAAAGTATTTCTTAAAGTATTCCTACAAACGAGTTCTCACTAACTCGATTATGTGTGTTTGTACGTTTCCATATAATCTATATTAAATTTTTATTTATATGGTAATTATTAAGATTTACACATAAGAATGAATACAATTGATCTGTTTTCTTTATTATTTACTTTTTGTTTTTTATTTAGGGTTAGTTTTTTTACATTTTGTTTTTGTTTTGTTGTTTTCTTTATTTGCTCAAAATATTTGAATAAAAAAAACATTTCACAGTAAACTAGATGTTAAAATGCTTGCTGTTTTGGTAAAATACTATTTTTTATTCATAAATAATCAATCTCGTCTTTTGTTTATGGTGTTTAAGAGCAATTAATCATACATACATCTTTTCCAGGTCGCCAGATGATTAATCATATCGAACCCAAACTTAAAAACTTCAAATTAGACGCATTTTGCCAATAAAATCTTCTTAATCTGCGAGTATATTAGCTATACTATACTATAGCTTCTTTGAACCACTAACCACTCGTCTCACTTTCGCTTGTGCACAAAGTTGGAAAAAACCATCCTCTATTCAAAGTACATCTTACACGCTTGCACGTCAATGCAATTCAAAGTGCGGGACTTCTACTTTTTGGTGAAAAAATCTTAACACAGTGACTGTAACACAAGTTAAACAATAGCTGCTCATAGATGTTGAAGCTGCTACAGCCACACACATCCCATTGTGCATGAATAGTATCATTATGTATTAAATACATATTGATGCATTTCTTGACAGCGTAGAAACCCTTAATCCATCCAGGAAGGGGTTCAAACATATATTTGACAAGTAGGGAGAAAACAGCTCTATTTAGGCTAAAACTTCATTCATTTTTATTATTTCCCAACGACTTCAGCAACAGTTTGGACAACTCCCTAAACGTTTCCTCAATTCCATAAACAACCTTTAGCAGCAGTGCTCCACCGTCAGCTAACAGGCAGCTTCCTGCTTCCCAGCATGCTCTACAGAAGCCCAGCATGCCTTTCTTCTCAGTGTGACGGATACCTTAGGAGGTTTGATCAGGGCTCATCTATCTCTGCTGCCTGTGTGTGTTGGGAGCATCGAGTGAACATCCTGTGCATTTCTCCACCCTCACTACAACAACATCCTCCCAATCAACACTATCCACAAGTGGTTGCGTTCACCCTGCATGTCTGCAGGAGCGCACGCATCACATCACACAGAGGGATGAGAATATTCTTGCAGTGATGTGTGCCTAATCCGGTTTATTTTGCAAATTACCACCTCAGTCACTCGCTCGATGTGACTATTATAACACTGAATCCAATAGAGCATCTAAATATGTAGAAATAAACACACACCCTACTCTACTTCTCTAAACTTTTTGGTTTCTTGAAACAAAGACGAGACTTTACCAGTCATGAGGATATATTTAAGAAAGGTCGAGTGTTTCTTAGTCTGGTGCCAAACAGTACTAACCTAAAAGTCTCACAATCGCCTCACGCTAAAATCAAATAAACATGACTTAAAGGAATAGTACACCCAAAACATGATTAGCCTTCATTTTCTACTCACCCCCATGCTGAACAACACTCTGGAGTACTTTTTTGATATCTCAAATGCATCTGGAGATCTGGGAGGCTTCTTGCTGTCTGCTGACATTCAAATAATGGAGGTCTATGGCGCCCGAGGCAGAAAGGTCCATAAAAGTCCACAAAAAACGTGTCAATATTCCTCCATACTGCTCGTCCAATGTATTCCAAGTGTCCTGAGTGGGTAGCGTCCAGAACTACTCGAAACGAAGTCATTTAGAATGTTTTTAGAGCATAAACAGTAGTGTATAGGATTTCCTAAAAGCGCGTTCACGAGTCTACGGAAACTGTGACAGACCAAACCAGATGAAAGTGCGCATTCAGCTCGGCAAAGAACTCATGCTCTTCCTCAACACTGAAGTCCTAAGACATTTTTCTTCCGTTGTTTCTTTCTTTGCACAGGTAAACAGCACATTTCTTCTTCTACGCTTGCATTATCGGCAGAGCAGACGCTGAATGCGCACTTTCGTCTGGTTTGGTCTGCCGCGGTTTCCGTAGACTCGTGAACGCGCTTTCAGGAAATCCTATACACTACTGTTTATGCTCTAAAAACATTCTAAATGACTTCGTTTCGAGTAAATTCTGGATGCTACCTACTCAGGACACTTGGAATACATTGGACGAGCAGTACGGAGGAATATTGACACGTTTTTTGTGGACTTTTATGGACCTTTCTGCCTCGGGCGCCATAGACCTCCATTATTTGAATGTCAGCAGACAGCAAGAAGCCTCCCAGATCTCCAGATGCATTTGAGATATCAAAAAAGTACTGCAGAGTGTTGTTCAGCATGGGGGTGAGTAGAAAATGAAGGCTAATCATGTTTTGGGTGTACTATTCCTTTAAAGCTGATTCATAATCAGAAACCAGGTTATCTGCATGTATGTTTCAGATATGTCCCCGCCCCTTATGGAAACACTCTGGTGCACCTCTCCGAAACTGTAGGTGACCGCAGACAGGAGGCCTCCGATTGGTCAAATCTACATCCGCTTTAAACTATCCGTATTTCCTATTTGGTAGCTTACAGGCATGTTTTTTTTTCTATGACGTCCATTGCGGAAAAAGACGGACCAGCTAGAAAAGCGAGGTGCGTGAGAACGCTGGGACCGTTTTTCCACCTGGATCCCCGCTCTTTTTGGCCCCTCCGTGGTCGCACAAACTTGCCCCCTGCATTTTTCCACTTCCTCGGCCGTATCTAGACCCACAGCTAGTTCGTGATTGCGTTGTGGCGTGGAATAAAATAGCGCAGACCACGCTTCAATATTTGGCATAAACCTAAAATATCTGCGTCAAGCTCATTGCGACACACTGCTGCGGGAAGTATAACCAGCCCTTTAAGCTGCTTTCCCACTGAAAACCTTGGTTTTTCAAAACTGGGTTGACCCGCTAAAAATCAGCTTTTAGCTCTTTTTCCATTTCACTGAAAAGACGACCCCCTGCTGGGAAGCTGTGTGGCGACTTTACCCCACCACTGCGCGTCTGATGTCGGCATCACACTGGGTGAGTGAGCGTTGATGATGTCGCTAGTGCGACGGAAATCAGGGAAGTAAATAATAGAGCAACATGGAGCCAGAGAATAGTCAGTATTTTCTATTATTTCGCTCTTTTATCTGTCTGAACCAGCACTGCACCATGTTATCTAATATAAACAGATTTGTTTCGGCTTGTTACATCAGAAGTGACTGGCGTGGTGTGTTGACCTCTGTATGCTACATTCAATGGTGTCACCTAATGGCTCTTATTACCAATTATTTGAACATCAGTCGATTCCTGAGACGGGCTGCTGAGTTTTTAATGCTTCATCATGAATTTTAGTTAAAATACTGAAAAAACTCTGATGCTTCCCCTGCTCCATGTTGAGTGTGGTACACACCATGTCAAACAGCACAGTGACTACCTGTAGCCCTATTTATAGGCCCACAAACTGATTAATAGATTGTAGATACCTGTGATGCTAATGAGTGGACACATCTTTAATGTTCCCCTCTGATCTCATTATTTTCAGTCTCTTCTAAAGGGCTGGTTATACTCCCGCAGCAGTGTATCGCAGTGAGCTTTCCGTAGACATTTTTTGATTTATGTTTAATTTTGAAGTGTGGTCTGAAAAGAAATCTTTAACTTTCATTTGTTCCTTTTGTTTGTATTACTTTTGTTAGACTCGAGTTATTTCTGTGACCATTGGGGGTTTTCTTTCATTTGTATTACTTAAAAGTTATAAAGATGAGATTAAAAGTCATATTCATGACACAAAGTCCAGATGGAACGATTCACTGGTCAGACGATCTTTTCTCGATCTTTTCATTTCTCTCAAAAACTACAGGGAACATGTAAACAACACAATATAAATTCAATCAAATCAAAGTGTCCACTAAGGAACAGGAGCTCAATTCCACATGCTGTTGTGCAAATGGAGTTAACAAGTTTTTGGCCATTAACAAGACTCACTTCTCAGTACCTATGCTTTCTGGCTGATGTTTTGGTTGCTTTTGAATGGTGTTTTCACCCTTGTGGGAGCTTGAGACAGACTCTAAGACCCACAAAAGTGGCCTAAGTAGTGCTGCTCATCCAGGACAGAACATCAATGCGAGCTGTGGTAGGCCGGAGGTGCTACCAGCAGACAGGCCATTACACCAGGAGGTGTGGAGAAGGCCGTAGGAGGGCAAAAAGCCCAGCTGCAGGACCGCTGCCTCCACATTTGTGCAAGGTGGAACAGGAGTTGCAGTGCCAGAGCGCTGCAAAGTGACCCCCAGCAGGCCATAAATGTGCATGTGTCTGCAAAAACGGTTAAAAACCAACTAACTCCATGAGGATGGTATGAGGGCCCGACGTCCACAGATGGGGGTTGTGCTCACAGCCCAAAACCATGCAGGATGCTTACAATTTGCCAGAGAGCACCAGGATTGGCAAATTCGCCACTGGCACACCGATGGTAGCAGGTTCACACTGTGCACATGTGACAGACATCAAAGAGTCTGGACACACAGTGGAGTGATCTGCTACCTGCAACATCCTTCAGCATGACCGGTTTGAATCAGCATTGGTGTGGGGTGGCATTTCTTTGCAGGGCTGTACAGCCCTCCATATGCTCGCCAGAGGTAGCATGACCTCCATTAGGCACAGAGATTAGATCCTCACACCCCTTGGGAGACCATATGCTGGTGCGGTTAGCCCTGCAGGGCAAACTTCACATTGCCCCACAGACTGTGCAGGAGTTGGTGGATGCTTTAGTCCAGGTCTGAGAGGAGATCCCTCAGTAGACCATCCACCACCTCATCAGGAGCATGCCAGGCGTTACCGGGAGGTCATACAGGCACATGGAGGCCAGACACAAAACTGAGCTTCATTTTGACCTGTTTTAAGGACATTGAACTAAAGTCAGATCAGTCTGTAGTGTTTTTCCTCTTTACTTTTGTGTGTGACTCCAAACCCAGGCCGCCAATGGTTAATACATTTGATTCAATTGATGATTTTTGTGTGATTATGTTGTCAGCACATTTAACTCTGTACAGAACAAAGTATTCAAGCAGAATATTCATTCATTCAGATCTAGGATGTGTTATTCTCCTTATTTTTTTACGGTGTATATTTTCTATCTACAAATCTTGAGGTTGTTACAGAAATGAATCTGAAAGTTTTATGACCGATTAACTGGTTGATGTGAATGTACACAAGTTTCCAAATGTTTGAGTAACATTATCATCTCAACTTCTTTTTGTCATGTCGGAGAAATATTTTCAGGAGTTTTACTGTAGTGAAATAAAAAAGAAAACTCTCAGACTCTCAGTAGATAGAAATTCACAGACTCACACGGTATTCCAGTTGCAGTAAAATAACACCGTCCCAATTAGCACAGTCTTACCAGCTTTTACATTACGCCGGTCCACAGGGGTTTTTTTCCCCAATCAGCTCTCGCGCTGCAAAATTAATTTGTCACCTTCTTTAAAAAAAAACACAAATCATATGCATTGTGCAGATTTAATTTCAATCTTAACTGAAAGGAACTGCAATGTCCTCGCAGTCCATCGCTACTCCCTTTTTGCTCCATCATAATGTAAAATAGGATCCATCAAGCAACCCTGAAAAAGACTGCTACTAAAAGAAAAAAAAAAGCTACACGTGTCCCCTACAGCAGTAAATAGAGCACGCTGAGTGATGATGTGTCCTACCTGGAGGGCAGAGCGCTCCACAGCCCATGTCTCTGCCTCAAGCATCCTCTCCTATAGCCAGCAGGACCAGCTTTCTCCCCTACAGCTCATCGTCCACAAACTGTGCTCTGAAATCAGCCCCGGTTTAACATCTAAACCCAGAAGTAAGTTTGACATTTGCTCAATATTCAACAGGGGTACAGAATAATGTATTTCTTCTTCAGATTTATGAGCTGTCCTTTCAGTTTGCACCAACGTTCAAAGCACAAGGCTGCACGGCTGCTCTAAAAGCCTCCTGACCTTCTCTTCTTTCATATCATCCAGTCCCCGTCGCACAGTTTCCGTCCTGTTTCTCATCTTCTACCTGTATTCCTTTATTCCCCCCCTCCTCCTGCTCTCATCCGGTCATTTCTGCCCGTTCGAGGCACTCTCAACCACTGCCATAAACGTCGCATGGATTTAAATTTATTCAACCATCAAGAAGAGAGAGACTGGTCCCACATTTTCCATCTAATCACTGGAGCAGTTTGAAGACATCCCACATGCTGCTCGGTGCGTATACACAAGAGGTAGTGTGGAGTGAATACGAACGAGCTGGAATATAATGTGATTGCCTGAATGGCCGATGAAAAAAGGCAACATAAATATGGGGCTCAGCTGTGCAACAGTATCCCGACTGACGCAAAGTAATCATCCAGCTGAAGGAGACCTTTTTTCCACCGAGTGATAAAACCTTCAGCCTTCAGCAGTGAATGACATCTAAATCCTGCTGTACTTTTCTCCAGGAAAATAACACAACTGAGCACCTAAAAAAGGCTTTTAACAATATTCCTTTTCTACATTCAGTGATATAAAGCTGAAGTCCAACATAAAAGTGCTTATTTAGATACAGGAGCAGGAGGGAATCAGAGCTATGGAAAACAGAGTTACTGCTTTTTTACAACATAATAACACAGTAATGAAAAACTACTCCATAAAATTTATTTTTCTTTACCTGAAGAATACAATTAATAAAAAAAACAAAAAAAAACAATACAAAGGTGGCTTAATTAGTGGTGTTTCCATTAGGATTATGGTCTAGTGCAGGGGGGTAACCAATGAAAAATTAGCGGAGTCTGAATAAAGACAGGCTTTATAAAGGAATGAGTAACTCTAATTTAATGCTCTTAAAAATTATTTTAATGCCATCAACATCTTTACCATTGACAGGCTGCAACCGTGTCCCGAATTCCTCGTTTTCCAGCCACTTTTGTTGGCTTCTCCGCCTCAAGCTTCTTTTCTTTTCCGAACCTACGGCTTTACGATCAACCGGAAGCAGTTTTTATAAAGTATTTAAATGCCAATTAAGGCCTTAATTTAAAAAAATAATAATTTTAATAACTTTTTAATGACCCGCAGAAACCCTGAAAGAAAATCAACAACCAGTAAAGGTCCGGAGACATTTTTTTATTATTATCTGTTATTTAAACAGTATTTAACACTGAAATAAAATTAGGTTTTTATGAATCCATGTTATATATTGACTTTTTAAATAAAAAATATATATATAAAAAAAAGAACCTTTTTCCATTTTAAAATGTAAATTGTTAAGCAGCAATCGTTCAGTTTGGTACATAGACAATTTCCTGATTCCCAAAGTTTATAAAACACCTGATCTTATTTTAATAAAATCTTTTTTCTGGATTAATGAGAGCAGTGGGCTTTAGGCTTTAAACCTGGGTTTAACCGGAGACTAAGCCATTCTCAAGCACATATCAAGGAGCTCATTTTGAGCCTGGATCCAAATTTATTGTTGATTCTGTTCATGGTGGAGAATCCTGCTTCACAGCAGCAGGTTGAGCCAAACATCCTCTAAATGTGCAGGGTCATCTTTGAGCACGCCATTTCACTTTTCTTTCACCAGTTCACCGCAGTTCTTCCAGCAGTCCACACTTTCTCTGCTCTCTTTTTCTCATCTTCTTTCCCATCGCCCGGCTTGCCACAGGTTTGCCTGCTGTGTCTAGAAGTAGCAGCAGCAGCAACTCAGACTGACAGCAGCTCATTGAATAATTTGTATCACATGTCGCCTGGTCCCAGACGCTATGAAGGGCTTTACCGTAGAAACAGGAGAAGCAGAGCAAGCGAAGTTAGACACTGTCATCAGACAAAATGCGGTAATTAATAAATATCTTAAATCAGGTTGGGTGCGGATCCGGACCGCGGCCCACTGAAAACTAACCTCTGTTTTAGTGGGTTGATGATAAAATGCTGCCAAAGAAAAACAATTTCTATGCACTATACTTATCTTTCTTTTTAATTTTTCATCTTTTTATCCATTTTTTTTTCTTACAGTTTCATGTATTTCCAATACTCTGTCTCGTTCAACATTGATTCAGTCTTGTAGACTTTTTCCTGATCTCCTTTCATGCTTCCCGTGTTCTCTGAAGGTAAGGCAAGTTTATTCATATCACACATTTCAGTGGCAAGACAGTTCAAAGAGAAAGAAAAGGACGTTGCAGCGGTATAGAAGCTGCATAATCTTGTCCAGCTTTGGTCATATTTAGTCCTCCAAACAGATACGAGCTGAGGTTAAACATCCCACCCAGGAGTTTCCTTATGAGAGGCCTTTTACACGAGAGTTCCTGTTGCAAGTGGGACCCCTATTTTAACACAATTCTTTATTTGCAATAGATCATTCATTCAACAGCTGAAACTACATGCCTTGAATGTATTTAGTAAAAGAAATAAAAAATAATTTTCACTTTGTAAAAGCTTACCAATCAAGTAGATTATAAAACTCAAAGCAGCTTAAAACAGAACAGAAAAGCAGAGGTTTGGCATCAATCCTCTAGAGACGAGGTAACCAATTAAAAATCAGGTCTGGAGAAATTTTTTATTATAATTTGTTACTTTAAACCTAATTTAACACTAAAATAAAATGAGGTGTTTATGCATCCATATTATACATTGAATTCTTGATTTAAAAATATATATATAACATTTTTCCATTTTCTATCTAATCTAAAGTGTTTTTTAAGTAGATAACAATCATTAAGTTTGGTATATATTAAAAAACACCTAAACGTTTGTTTTTGTTTAGTTTTCTTCTTTTTTATGGCCAAATGAGATAAGTGGGCGTCAGGCATACCTGCAAGGCTTTAAACCTGGGTTTGATTAGTCCAAACTTTCTTTCACTTTTTCCTCATCGTACGGCTTGCCACAGGTTTGCCTGCTGTGTCTAAAAGTAGCAGCAGCAGCAACCCAGACTGACAGCAGCTCAGTGGATAATTGAAGTGAAATTAGACTCTGTCGTCAGACAACATGCGGTAATTTATAAATGTTTTAAATCAGGTTGGGTCTGGATTAGCCAGCAGGTGGGCCCAGATCCGGACCGTGGTCCGCTAACCCGTGACCTCTGATATAGGGTTTCACATAATTCTATGCAGTGACATATTACCAACCCAATCCAGCACACTCGGCCAGTTTTGTTAACTGGTTCCTGTTCCACTGTCCTTTCATCCCTTTCTCCTCATTCTCCTGCTCCTCCTAATCCCCCATGACTGGCATTATCCTGCCGCTCTGCATCAACTCCGTGACCACAGCCTCCTCACCTACTAATAACGATTACAGCAACAATGATTGACAAATGCAATATAAAATAAACTACAGTGTGGGAGCGAAACTTAACAGAAGGAAAGTAAGTGAATTATTTGACTCATTTTTATTTTTCTTAACCCCTAGAACCCTACGGACCCACCGGCGGGTCCAGCTGCTACATGACCTCGTAATTTTAACAAACCCCCAGTATTGATGTAAAAAACACATTTGGCACAGTTTGGTGACATTTTTGGAAAAATGTGCCAAAATGGCCCCTCCGCCTAAGAAATTTCTCACTAATACCATTCTAAAATAAATATGATTCATCAGATTGAGTCCAAATTTGGTATATTTTTACACAACATTAGATTTGAAAGTCTGTAGTACATTTTTGTGCTATAAATAATATTTTGGTAGTGTTTTGCAATGTTTATTTCAAAGAAAATTTTGGTGAGGTTCAAAAAATGCTAAATATTTTGTATTTTGTCCCTAATATTTCAGTCAGGGTCAAAGCTACAATGGTGCTGACACCAGAAAACCATTCTATGACATCTTACCTTTACAGACGTACCAAAAGTTTCTTCTTAAATCTAATAGCTGTGAGGCTATAAGTGATTTACTTTTGTGTGTTTTTGTCAGGCAGAAATTTATTTATACCCCTTTAGGGTGTAAGAGGTTAAGCTGGTAAAAAAAAAGGTTAACTGTAGAAACAACAAGAAATCATTATTTTAAGCATCTTTGTAAATTGAACCACACAAATCAAATCTTTACGTTCTTCTTTTAGATTAGGAGTGGCCTTAACATGCAAAATATGAAATAGTCAGATATTGTATTGAGCCACACGAAGCCGAGCAATAACAATAGTTTAAAAGAGTGGTGTCAGATTATTTCTGGATCTCTTTTATAAGATAACGCCCTAAAACATTTGTGCAATAATCAGTTGTCTAAAGTTGCCTGTAACTACATGAAATCCAGCTGTGAGTCATTCTATTTGGCCGTGAATCCAGCTGGTAGGAGATGGGCATATTTTTAATGTTAGTTATTCAGTGTTGCTTAGTCATTCAGACCCAGACAATAAAAAAAATTAATTACAACAACACTGAAAAAACAAAATCACAGCTGTAAACCACTTTTTGTTGGTTTTTCACATCAATCCTTAACGAAATAGACTGAAGCTGTGAGTTGATGGAATGTGGGAAAAGTTCCCAGGAAATGACTGTTTTATAGGTCACGGTGCTTTCTATTTGCTGTACATGTAAACATATTCTCCCGTTTTTAAAAATCTAAGCCAGTGATGTCCAGCAGGATTAGGGGATTTAACCCTTTAAAGCCCGATCCAAGAATAAAACAAAACAGAAAATTACTTTTTTTGGTTTGAAGTCCTTATTTGGCCTTTTAACAAAATATGTAAAAAGAAAAAACAGAAATATATTTTTGATATTAATAATTTATTACAATGCGATAAGTCAAGATTATTCTTTGTGTAGTCTTCTACTGGCTGTTATCAGGTATATCTGATTGTGTAGAATAGGATTTTGAGCAAAGTTTTTACCATTAAATTATGCAAAAGGTGTCAGATGCAAAACATTTCAGAAACCGTATGTATCAAATATGATACATTTGGCATTATAGGGTTAAGGTGGCTCATGTCAATGGGATATAAAGTTTTAAAAAAACAAATTCTTCTTTGTAGCCAATGTTGTGGTCCAGGATGTGTAAAAAGCATCATTTTCCAAAAAGACAT